GTTAAGTCTTGAACTTTAACTTGTACTGCTTCTGAGGTCTTCCCCTGCCACCTGTAGAGAAGTATCCATGTTCCGAAATTCGTTCAACTTCGTAACCTCCATTCATAGAGGGTGGAATCATGGATGGCTGGTTGGGAAACTCCTGGCCTTCGACATAGGGTAGCAGTTTGGAAGCATGAAAGATAGGGTAGATCTTGAGGTGAGGGGGTACATCAATGCGATATGATGGCCCGTTTGCATCCCTTATCACCTTGAGAACTTCCTAGGGTCCATAATAGATAGGTACTAGGTAGCAATTTATGAGAGACATTTTCTGCAAGGGAGAATTCTTTAGACTTTACCTAAACTAGGTCTCCTTCTTTGAACAGAGACGATCGACGATGTTTGTTTGCTTAGCCGATCATCTGTAGTTGGGTTTTCTGTATATTCTCATTTACTTTGGCTATGTCCTGCTCATATAGAATTGCAAATTATCTGGTTCCTGGGGTAGCCTTTGGACTTGTTCCCTAGTTAACGCATCAATGGGACGTCTTGGCTTCCATCCTTGTGCAGTGTGTTAGGGGTTCTTCTAGTAACAGTGTGAACACTGTTGTTGTAAGCACTCACAATCTTGGTAAGTTCTCGTCCCAGTCAATCTGATATGGTCACAAAAGTTGTTGGCACAGTCTATTTATTTATTCACTTCGCCCATTCATTTCAGGATGTCCACCTGACAACATGGTCAATATTGTGCCATAGGCTTCCATTAGCTTTTGTCATTGTAGACTACTAAACTGCACATCCCTATTAGAGCTATGTATCCCCCCCGGCGGCGGACAGGCGCGGCCAAGTCCGCGGCCGCGGCCAGTCCGCGAAGCCCGCGGACGTGCGGATTCGCGGACACGTGGCGGCCCCAGGGGAGGGGGTTTCACAAATCTGGCGGCGCATCCCCTGCCCCACCCCCCCACACAAAAAAAAAACGAAAAAGATGAACTTTTGGTGGGGGGGGTATGGGCGAAATCGAACGAAATTGGGAAAAAAAAAACGCGTTTTTTTTTTTT